ATAGTTTCCTAAGGTCAGTCTCCACATATAATCCAAAGTCAAAATCTTGTTCTGAGTTATACAAGTCTAATTGATATAGGGTGAAGTTAATTCTTTTTACAGTTTCTATTGGAACTTCAATTATTTGTTCAGTGATAGTAATTTTAAACATTTCGGATTTTAATTGGATATTAATTTCTTCTATGTTTTCAGGAAATTCTCGGTATAAGTCCTTTAATTTTTGTTATAAGTTTTGCAAAAATGCCATCGTTTTTCTTGAGAAATTTTAAGGAATAGGTCTTGTATTTATAATTTTTCTAAATGATCATCAGTAATTAATTTGTACTGCCTTACATCCTTATTTGATTACAATGCTACATTGTTAATCTCTTTGTTTGTAGTGCTTAATTAAGGATGTGTTAATTGGTAAACTTAATTTATCAGGATCTGCTTTATCTCAGAGTATTACAGTTTTGTCACCAATTTTTCTATGGATATAATAGGGTCCTGTCCATCGTTGAGTAAACTTATCACCATGGACATTTTGTTTGACAGCATCATATAATATTACTAAATCTCCTTCCTTAAAGGTGGAAGCTTTCTCAATCCTTTTGGAACATTCCTCTTGTATTTGTTGAACTGTTCCAATGTTATCCTTGGCAAGTATTAATGCATCAGTAAATGTTCCTACTATTTGGGCAATGCTTCTATTTAAAACTTCTTCATAAGGAACTTCTACAAATTCTTCTCTTGATAATTCTAGGTGCAAGGGTAATTGAGCTTCTTTCTCATGCAATAAATAAAAGGGACTAAACTTTGTAGTAGAGTGTTTCAGGGTATAGTAAGTAAATAGGACTGAGGGAATTAGATCATCCCAATCTTCAGTAGCGGAGTTTACACATCTTCCAAGTGAATGACATAATGTTTTATTGAATCTTTCAGTCAAGCCATTTGTTTGTGGATGATATAGTGCAGCGAGTTTATGTTTGAAGCCAACTTCTTTTTTTAATAATCCCACCACCCTCCCGAGGAATGCCTTTTCTCAATCGGATATTATACTGGAGGGGACTTCATGTCGACATATTATTTCCTCATAAAGAAAATTGGCTACTTCTTTTGCTGTTGCATTAGTTACTGGTTTCACTTCAGGCCACTTGGTTAAATAATCTGTTGCTACTATTATGTATTTATTTCCTTTACTAGATACTTT